AAATTTGTTTTTAACAGACAGTAGTTTGTAAAGAGAATGTCTCAAAAACCTCTTCGTAAACATTTTCTCGTATATCTGTCCTGTTTTATTTAACTTCATCAGTAAATCTATTTTCAGAAAAACATGATGCAATGTTGCTGTTTAAATTGCTTGAAATTCTTCAATTATTCTAATCTTTAAACCGTTCAGATCTTTTATAGTTCTTTTATCGATATTTGCCTTGACACATTTCCATAAAAAAAAGGGTGGAGTGTGAGTATGGATCTTCTATTCTTTCACATCTATACCCTCTCAACTGTATTTTCCACTTCAGATTGTATTTTCTCCTGATGATGGTCGAACAATATTTGGCATTGATGAAATAAATCAATGAGCTTTTAGTGCCACGATACGAGAAATATCATATGTCATGAACGAATTTTCCTATGCGATTCCTGATTCCCCTCAATCAAAGTATCATGTTCAATTATTAATATATTTTCCATAGAATAATTGTATGTATGAAACATAACGGAAATACGACGAAATTTAATTCAATTCATTTTCATCACACTCGTGGTTTAATCGAACTTCATTTGAAATAAAAAAATTATCTTAAATTGAATTATGAAATAATATATTCAAATGATTCTTCTACGGATGAAGATTATTGGTATGCAAATATACCATGTCGAAATGATAGTGGAGAAGTCATCTATCCATGTGAATAAATACTGAAATAGCACTTCGATCAAGTTAAGTTACTCGTCGGCGATGAGATGTTTTCCAAAAAACAACAAATTATCATTTAAGATCAATGAAAAAAAACAGATGAGGAATACTTTAACTCAATATCGAAAAACTGATCTATGACTTGTCGAGATGTTACATTTTTTATTATCGACAAGTAGCAAAGATAAATATAACTCTCACCATATCAAATTAATGGAAAATTATATTGTTCATATTCAATGAAAACCAATGAGTTGCACTGTTTGTTTTACATGAACACCAAAAAAATTATACTTGAATGGTGAAAATTTTCAAGAAATATAAACATTAACATTAACTAGTATCAAAAATAGTCCCAAAACATTTCTTATTCTGATTTTCAACAGTAAAAGTTACGATGTTGTTTCAACTGATATTTATCCCATTTTTTATTACATAAATTTCTTTCTTTTCATCTTAAATATTTATGAAATAATCTAAATAAAGTGCTCATTGAAGAAAACCTTTAACTCATTTAGCATCCGACGAGTTTGCAACAAAAATCAGGCTCTGGGTTGGACGTCGAATTGTAGAGCTCTACTTGGAGTCTAAAAAAAAATCTTGCTCAACGGGCTCTTTCTTCAGAAAGATATGCGTATTGGTGAACTTTGAGATCTCTTCTTCAACGAGCAATATAATTTATTTTCATTATTATGATTCAATTATGAATTGTTGAAAACCTTTAAATTAATATTAGAGTGTTTATTTGGCCATTTATGACTATATAAGAAAAATGGAAAAGATTTCTATGAAAATTGTGAAAAAAGATTTGATTTCAAATTCATTAGTCGAAGATTAGCGCATGTTGTTATTGTATCTTTGTCATTTTGTTAGACAGAAGAAAAATAGAACGAGAGTGATATCCTATTGACACAGATGGAGTGAACAAACTTAAGCAAATTCAATGTGAAAGCATATTACAGTGCTGCTTTTTTGTCAACTGATCATTCCACGACGATTTTTTTTTTGAGTATGAGAAGAATAGAAAATATCTATTCTGGTAAACTGACAAAATTGTTCATCAATTTGAAGTGATGGAAATCTTATTGTATTTCATACCATTTATTTTGTGGTATTATTTGAGTGAAAGTGCACAACCCTATTTCCCGTCTCAAATTATATTTTCTCCTGATAATGATCAAACAATAATTACAATCGATGAAATAAATCAACAAGCTTATCAATCGATCCCTGTTCATCCTTCAAAAACACAAACATAGTTTGCTATGAAAAATTTTCCATATTCAATTCCTGATTCTCCTCAATCAAAATACTATGTTGAATTAATAATAAATTCTCTAATGAATACATGTATGTATGAAACATACTGGAAATAATTTTAATGTATTTCCATCACATTGGTTGTTAAATGGAAGTTTATTGGAAATAAAAAATTATGTTAATTTTACTTATCAAATGATTCTTCTTTAGATGAAGATTATTGGTATGCAAATGTCAAATATGAAATTGAGAATGGAAGCAATTATCTATGCCAAGAAATTTATTTTAAAAAGCAATACCGAAATTCCTCTACGAATAACAACAAATTATAAAATAATATCAATAGAAAAACCAGATGAGAAATATTTTGATTTAATTCCCAAAAATTGGTCTATCGCTTGTCAAGATCTTAATCTCGGATTATTATATTATCCACAATTTTCAAAGATAAGTTAATATCAAAGTGTAGAAATACACATTTCCCTTTCAACTTCACCGCATCGAATTGATGGCAATGATACTGTTCGTATTCAATGGAATACAACTCAATGTATTGATTGTTTTACATTATCACCAAAAGAATTTAGTTTTAATATTAACAATTTTCAAGAAAAATAAATATTAAGAATAGGTTTCGATATTATTCGATCAGAAAAATTTCCCATTTATATTGAATAAATTTCTTCGTTTTCATCTACTGTTTTAAAATATAATTAAATAAAAAAATTTTATTGAAACTTTCACTTCAATTTTGTTAATATTTATTTTAGTTACATAGTAAAATCAAGGTGGTTTAGACGATATCGTCGCCTAACAAGTATTGATCAGGCTTATCAAACCTTCTGATTTGTAGACTTTTCTCCTGATTTCAGGAGCTGATATTTTAGATTCTCTACTGATTTTTTTTTCTATTTGAGTGTCAGCGACATATCTGAATCCATGAGAGAGTTACAAGAAAGAAAGTACTATTGCCGTGTCTAAATGATATAGTAATCAATAATAACATGCTGCTTTTATTTCATATTATTCAAGCTAAAATCATCAATTATAATTACATTAACGAATCTGATATAGAGTATTTTTCTAGATAGAGTTAGTGAGAAAGTCATACTGTACGTATATAATATTTTCATCAGCCAAAGATTTGATTATTAAAGTATAAAACTCATCGGATAAAAATTCTAAGACACAATCAAAATCACAACTCGTAAACGGTGGCTTTTATATTTCATTAAAAAAACCCTTCGAAATTACGAGTCGTTGCTTCATTATGATTAACAATAAATAATCAATTATATCGGATCTTCTGAAATGTTTTCAACATAGTTCGTTTTATGAATATCTTTGCACAGGCAAACGATCGAATCTTAATCTTTTTTTTTGAAGATGCACTGTGAGAAGTTCTAGAAAAATTGTATTAACAAATTCCTAGCGACATGTTTTCATGGTTATCTCATGCTAAAAATGTACAACCTTCATGATGGTGCTATTTTTCACTATATTATACATAATAAAGATGTAGGAATGACTTTTTTGCTTTATACTACGGATGTGTTCATACAGCTTTTACAGAACTTTCGATAACCATCTCTAAAAGAATCATGATGTTATCATTTTCTGTAGTTGAAATATACACAAAATAAAAAGTTTTAAATATTTTTTTTATTATGCTCGACACGGT